GGACTAAGCTTTATGTACAGGAGAGGAAAGGAAAATTGATGAGGGTGAAGCTTTTTTTTCCTTCTTTTTTTTTTTTTAAATTTTACTTTCTTCCTTTTACAGATTGCAGCATTGTGCGCTAAAAGATACAGTGGTGCATCCAGTATGAATTATTTCTTAGGAGGAAATAAAGCTCAAGCCACTGTAACAGCGAGAGAGAATCTCAAAGTCCAAATCCATCTCAATGAACAAGTTGTTCGTCTCCTTTCCTCAACTTGAGCTTGCTCTCTCCCAATTTGGCATGTACTATTTCTTAATACATAATTAGGAACTAGACTCAACCATCTCCATGGTTCATGAACTCTTCAGAACTACTGTGCATACCCCCATGCTCATTATAACTTCATCTCCTCATCTTGTGATCATCTCAAAGTATCTCTCCTCTTTTATGCCTGAACACAGCCTAAATGCATTGCATTTTCTTAGTCGTAGTCCATGTCCAAAATATATGAGCCCATGGTTGCACCCTTCAAGAATTAATAGTCCTACGTTAAATGCATCTATCTATTTCTCATGTGATCTCTATTATTCATCAATGATCAGAGTTGTACAAATTTCTACAAATGCTGATGTCTTCAAAGGAAGTAAGAACATTCACAAAAGGTATTAGCTAACTGAAACTGATGATCCTAGAATACTATAAATCAATTATAGACAGCAAAATACGATATCTCCTCGTTCCTGGAATGCTAGAAGTAATTTGTAATTCTCTAGAGCACTCTACAATAATCTTATAATATGGAAAGTTTCTAGAAATAACTAGGACTAGAAATATGATAAAAATAAGATATATCTAGAAGATTGGAATACTATGCAATACTCTAGAATGTTTCATGTAAAACATCTATGCTCTATAGTTAGTTCTATATGTGCCTATAAATAGGCAATGAATGTAAGCATTGTAAACAAGCTTTGAAGCAATTAGAACAAAGTTTCTTCAAGCTAGCATCTTCCCTTCTAACTTTTCATTTCTCTTCTAATTCCTCCATTCTCAGTCCTATTCTACCTCAAATCAATTACTCATCTAGTTTTCGCAACTCCAACAAATTTGGTATCAGAGCCATCCTGTTCTATCTCAAATCAATCTTGAAAGTCTTTAGCCTTTCACTACCATTTTCCGATCTGTTTAGGATATGATATCCGACAAGTTATTATCTAATGGATGCTGGGTTTTGGGTTTGTGGGGAAAAAATAAGTTCAGGGGGTTTTGTAAAATTTACCTAATAACTAACCGTCAACTAACAGAGTCAAACTGATCTCTCCAAAATCAAAAGGCCCTTCTTCAACTCTCTCAACTCGTCTCCTTCCTCTTTCCACTGAAGGGTTAGGGTTAGGGTTTCCATTTTGGGAAAAAATTTAATGGAAGTTCCCCAATCATGGAAGTCGAAGCTATCATACAAGAACGCCACCATCCTCGTCTGCTTCTTGAATCTCGTCGCCGCCCTCATCCTCCTCCATGGCTTCTTCTCTGGATCCGATCGAAGAAGCGCCCAATTTTCCCAATCTGATCCCTGTAATCTTTCTCCACCCTCTCAATTTCAGTACTTGTTGTCAATAAATTTCTTTTTTTTTTGAGAATTTGATGATTTTATATTTTTTTTATTTTTTTTTTGGGTGGTGTTCTTATGTTCTCAAATTAGTTCAATCGAAATGGAAGAAATAGTAGAGAAATACGAAATATTTAATAAAATTAGTTTATTTGTGCAGCACAAATTAAGTATTTACTGGAGTCTGAAGAGATGCGGCGTGCGATGGAGCCCTCTGAATTAATCAAAAGAGTAAGTATAATGCCATGAAAATATGATAATTATGTGAATAGAACGAAGGCCATTCTGATTAATTATTATGGTTTGTGCCATTTTTCTTAATAAACATATTTATTTGTTTTAATTTTTGGCATATTGATGGAAAATTTCAGATTAAGGAAATCGAGCGAGAAGCTTATAATGAACCAGAGCCTGAGATAAAGCAAGTACCGAAGCAGAAGGCAGCAGTTGATTTATCCAAAAGGTTAAAAGATTCAAGGGCGATGAACGATGCCAACAGTCAAAGAGGTGACTATCTGATGCTAATTAATTTATCTTTAAATTATTGAAAGAGGACTTGATTATATAGGAAAAACTATGTTAATATCTTTATTTTGTTACAGATAAAAAATTTATGTGAAGATTTTAAGAAATAGGAGCAGCCTTTTTCGTTGAAAAATATCAGTGTTAAGGATATTATAAATAATTTAAAAAAAATCATATACTGAGAATGGCCTTGTCTTTTGTATTTTACTTCGTGATATTTGCTTCCACCATATTTGATTATAAACCCAGTTTAGTTAGGAACATAAAATTTGATTTCTAACAGATTCTGTGATTATCTGGAATCAAGCATCACAACATCACTAGACTTGGATTGTAAGAACATGTATATTTCCATTTCCAATCCCACGAACTGTAAAATTAACTTCGTGAATGATAGGCTTTCATGGTGCACAAATATCCATCTCCAGATTTCTCTTGACTACAACTTTTTGCCTTTTCTTCTCCTTTGACATCAGTCTTTAGTGTTTATTTTTTTACCATTTAATATCATTTTATGTATTTATTTATTTTGTTACCTGAAATTGCTCTTGAGGATACTCAATGAGGACTATCAACGTCGTCTCATGATTTCCATGACAATTGAAGCCTTTTTGTGGAAATTCTTTCTAATAGTAGTGATAATTCTTACTTTCACGTTCAAATGATTGATTTATTTTATGCACTCAGCTCTTGAAGAATGGCGTAAAAGAAAGATGGAGAGAGCAAGACAACGCGAAGTTGGATAGGATGGGACCGTCGTGTCTCAAGTGTAGGCCTGTCTCAGCTCTTATCAGGCTATAGTTTTGCTTTACACCATATAGAAACTTGCAAGTTTGTATCTTTGCATGTCTCTGGCAGTGAAATTATCATTTTGTCACACCCAAAATTGCTGTAGGAGCACCATTTGAAGATGTATTCTCATGCTGTGTGATTAGGTTATTAAAAAGCTACGTAGTCTGAGCAATATCTGCGTGTCCAGAATAGAAATAGGCATGTTCAAAGCTGGACCAGCAATAAGATGGATGTATAAAGATGGATATATAACCCTTTTTAAGTTCTTTTGGTGTATTTACTGGATTTCTCGCAACTCATAAGCAACAAAAAGAAATAGAAAGGAAAATTTTCATCTTGCTTCTTGGCGAACTAGGGTATAAACTGAGTTACTAGCAGGGATTGGTAGAATTTGTCACAAAGAGTAGAAGTGTATTTGATGTATCATCGCTACAAAATTCATGCAACAATACCCTGCGTTCACTTCATGTATGTCTCCGGTTGTATATGAGTGCCAGCCTCTTTGTCGACTGGCGAGTCTTTGCTGCTGTGTGTATTGTGAATGATATATTTACTTGTAAAGTTGTGATTGCCAAGATGTGCTTCCATCATGGTGATCAAGCGGCAATCCTATTTTCCCATGAACCATAAGTGGAACTAAAGCTTCCTCCTCCAGTTTGCTGAGCATATTCTAAGATGACTTCCTGAGAACAAATATCCCATGTTTTTGCCATCTCTTCAAGTGACATTGGTTGTGTTGAGTTCCGGAGAGAAATACTGAACTTTGACTTTGCCTTGGTTGAAAGATCTTCAAAGCCATTACTGTGAATTCAATATGACATGCGGAAAGTAACTTGTTAGATCCATAAAATGTTAACTGTAGCATGGAAAATTAAACAGTAATTCACAAAAACGCCTGAACTTGGAGGTTATGGACAATAGCATGAACTTTACAAATCATAGAAAACCTCCAAACTTTCCATACTATAATAAACCTGTCTGGAACTGTTGGAAATTCTCATAACTGTTTAAAGGGGGAGAGTAAAAAGTCTAAACTGTCCGTTTGACTTTTTACCTACAGTTTCCGTAAAGGATCATTTATTTAAATTATATTTTGCCGGTAGGGGTAAAATTGGACAAAAGTTGTCCGATGTGAAGCACATTAAGCTCAGGGTTTTTTTAATTATGATTTATGAAGTTTATGGATATTTCAAAAAATTATTCCAAAAAAACCCAAAAACACATTAAGCTCAGGGTTAGGGGTATTCCCAAAAAAACCAAAAGTTCC